CTTCCACCCACGCTTGCCACACCGGCGTCACAGCCATCCAGCCCCTTCCGAGGCTCCCGGCCCCTCACCTTGCCTGGAGATAAGTGACTGCTGCCTCCTCTACTTCTTGGCTGGCATGATAGGAGCAAGCTCCTCCTCCTCTTCCTCAGACAAGTTATCCTCCTCCTCAAATGAAGCATCTTCCCTGGGCACTGGGACATACAAATAACTCTGCTACTCACCAAGGGGTCTTTCTCAAAGACAAGTGACCCCCCAGACACCCCAAGGACAGAGCAGCCCAAAGAGCACTGGAGCATTTTTAACAGCAGCTTGTGAGCAGTTAGCTGTATCCCAGCTGAGGGAGGTCTCAAAGGGGAATGGCAGTGGCCAGACATGGGAAAAGGGACAGTGTGGATCATCCAGACCCATTTTCCCATGCAAGGCTTTATGGCAGGGAAGGAATCTCTGCACAGAGATGGGGCCTGGGGAACCATCCCAAAGGAGCACCGATCACATTCAAGCGCATCTTCCCAGGGATCCCCAGCTGGCATTCGTGCTGGAGGGAGCCCCTCCACACCCCTCGCTCCTCCCAAGCCATTCTCCACACACAACTCCTTACCGGTCCGGTGCCAGCCGGCAAGGTGTACTGGGCCAGAGCCTGCCGCCAGCCGGAAGGTCACTGGGGGCTGCAGCTTGAAGTTGTCCAGACTCAGCTGCAAAGAGACGGGGATGGAGCTGAGTTAGTGGCAGAAGCAAAAAGCGGAACGTCTTGCAGTCCCCAGCACAGCACCCGGCCCAGTTAAACACGTCCTTCTGGGAGCATCCGCAGCCAGGCCAAGGCTACTCGGGGCGTTTCGCTGCGAGCTGCGCACCAGCTCATGGTCAGGATCCTAGGAGAAAGATCAACACCCAGAGATTTCCAGTTCCCTGCAGACATCCCACCTGGGTCTTCAAAACGACCTCTTACCAAGGGCTGGCACGACAACTTCAGATTCGCCACCGGCACGGCGATCTCCTGGTTCTCGCGGTTTCGTCCAACCACCTCCACCACGTTGCACTCATCCTTGGCACCGTCCGTCAGGCAGACCTGGGTGGGAGCAGAGATCACGAGCTCCTGCTCTCCCAGGGGACACAGCCAGCGCTCTCCACAGGACAAGTGACCCACAGCAATGCTACCAGCCCAGCTGCCAGGCTGCTGCGCCACAAAACAGGGAGAGCACGGGGCCACCTCCCCAGTGACTGCCCCCTTAGTGCCTACAAAGGAGCTCTGTGTCTCTCCCAGCTAGGATGGCTGTTCCCGCAGCCACCTCAAGACATGGCACCTGGGCTGCACGTGCTGCTGGTCTGACCCGTGCTGGCATGTCCTGTGCTCCTGCGACAGAAAGCATCGCCCAGGGAGAGCCAGGAATGAAGCCCTGTATTCCCCTGGGCTTGGAGAGCAACAAGCCAGAGACCCAGCTGGCAAGGAGAGCATGTTCTAGTGGGAGGCTTTGGCAAGGTCAAACACAAGGAAAAAATAGTTTCCTTCATCCCACATCTGGAGTATTCCTTGGCTGAGCAGCCCCCTGCCACCACCAGCCTTGCTCAAGCACCTCCATACAACGGATAAACACAGCCCCGTGCCCTGCCCGGAGAGCAGCCAGTACCAGGACCTCAGCCCGGCAGTTCCCTGGTCCAGCCTGGCCAGGGAAGGGGGGGTGAGGCTGTGGGCCACTATGGGAGAGGACAAACACGGCTAATTCTCATTTCTCTTACCAGAGACAGGGCCAAAATGTGGTCAGAGTCATCTTCCTCGTCCACCTGAAAGGTGTAGGATTTGGTACTGGCGGTCAGCTCGCAGCCTGGAAAGAGAAAATCAGAAGAGCTGCAGTGGTGGTCACACAGCCCCAAGTGCGGGCAAGGGGCTCCCAGGGCAACCCCCAGCCCAGCATGCACGCAGCATCCCTAAAACACCTTTATTTTCCTATGCTTAGGAGCTGCCTCAGGCCAGGGAACCCTAGGCTCCAGGATAAAGTGTCCCCAAGAACGACACATCCAGCTCAGCACCAAACAGGGACAAAACCCAGCGTCCCCAGACCGGGCTGCCATGCAGTAACTCTGAGCACCCAAGGGCAGGGGCAGGGCAGGGCTCATCCCCTCCGGAGAGCCAGGGCACGCAGCAGGAGAGGGAGCGGAAGGAGGGCGGCTCTGCTCTCCCCAGCATCAGCAGAACACGTGCTCTGGAGAGAGTTGGGAGGCCAAAACCAACGGCACGGAGCATGAGACCGGAGTGATGAGCAGCAGCCCGGGGGGGAGGGAGGATGCTGGGCCAGGCTGCCGGGGGCATGTTTTGAGACACGATTTGATTACATACTTCACCAAGCAGCTACAAAAACAAGGGAGACGCAGCATTACGTCCTTGGCTCTCGGGATCAGGATGCAGCCGGCCATGGGGAGGGCGGAAAGGCAGAGCGCCCGGGGTGCGTTTGCTCGCTGCAGGATGATTCACCAGTGTGGAGCGGGTCGGAATAACACGGACCGCAGCCCCCGCGTGCCAGACCCAGCACGTGCTCAGCTCACCGGGGCGAGGACCCAAACCCAGGTGCCCCAAAGGCCCCCGGAGAAGGGGGTTGGGGGGCTGGCTCCCCTCTCCTTTCCCAACACGAGCGCGTGCCTGGGACGCCGTGGGCCGGCTG